AGTCAATTTGTACTACGTGACCAAGTTTCCCCCTTACTTGTCGTTTACTGTTGTTTAATGTAAGTACGCACTTTAAGAAATTTTATTTCAGGTTTACCCATTAGAATTATCTTGGACAGGAGCCCATAATCAGGAGAGAGTAACTCCCTTTGGCCTATTCAACGGCGTTTTCAAAGAACAGTTTATTTTTAGATGGATTTTCCAGCGTATTTTGAATAATATCAAATATAGTACTTAAAAATCAGTCATCAAAAACCGGGGCTATGCGCTCCTGTATTGTATAGTTTTCTGTTTTCTGTTTTTTTTTTTTCTTTTATACTTTTTAATTTGAAAATCGACTCAACTGCGATATGCTCGAGTGATCAAAAACTGAGAAGCCCGGGGGAAAGTCATAATTACAATTCTCACTCCCTTGTCTGAATAAGATTGACGTGACATTAGCCATTACTGGTGTCACATGAATTAGTTGGGAAATTTGTACCAACACCCATCCAGGCTGACTTTAACTTGGCGGTGTCTGATTCAAAGCCGACTCGCGCGTGGGCAAAAATTATTTTATTGTCACAAATTATTCCCCACAGAAATGCTGTTAACATGTATTTTGCTGTCCAAATTGTTGACTTATCATTTATGTTTGACTTTAATTTCATCTAGGGATTTACGATGAGGCATTCGCTGTTACTCTCTCTCTATTCAAGCTTTTTTGATCAGTTGTCAGACTCTGATAACAAAACGTGGAAGGAACTGTACATTCTCAATGTGACGTCGTACTTCAACAGATCCCTTATAGAGAATATCGCCGAACCAATATTAAAGCTGCTAAGGTAAGGTCCAAACTGCTCACAATCCCTTTTTTTCCTCTAGGGAAAGCGAAAACTGGGTAGAGTTTGTGATCTCTTACGGACTACATAGCGCTCAGTTAACTTTGGGTCTCGATTAGCCTGTGTAACTGTTACTCGTAATTCTATATATTTCGGAAAGAATTCGCTAACTTTCGGAAGTAATCGGGTCACATTTAGTCATGAATTGACCAAAGTACCGCTCTCGTGGATGATACAGGTAACTTTCTGTGTCAATGGTCTAAGTTCGGCAGCTTTAGAATTATGCTTAATTTTAACGAACTTTTTGTTTATTCTACCGAAAGGTACCTTGAACATGAACACCTACTGAACTGCCCAACCGAACAAAACTCTAACAACGGACTTGGAAGTCTGCCTCTAACTTCGGTATTTTATAATGACGTTGTTGATCCGGGCACGACAGCGACTGGAGAGCTACCCACCAAGGAAAAGCTAAGTGGTGCTAAGATTTATGAGAATTTCATGAGATTCTACACTTCTCTAAAAATATCACCGGCTGAACTGAGGCAGAAGGCCACTAACAGGCTGGAAGAGTTGTACAATGAGGTGACAAC